CGTTCTCTGCCTGCCCAGGGACTGAGTGGTTGGGAATCTGGGGGTGCAAACCTGATCGTGGGGGGGACACGGGGTCCAAGGAGACACCAACACCCCAAAAAATCAACTTAAAAATGCCTAGAGAGAAATGGGGAAGGTGAATCCATTGGTGCAATGAAGTGTTGCACGTTCTTGGCCTGCTGAGAAAGTTGGGGGTGCAAACCTGACTGTGGGGGGACACAGGGTCAAGGGAGATACAGAAAATCCCCCCAAACCCCCTAAAAAAATCAATGGGAGTTGAGGACTCATCCGTGTATTCACATTCTCAGCCTAATGAGGTATTGAGTGGTCTGAAAACTGGGGGTGCAAACCTGACTGTAGGGGGGACACAGGGTTAAGTGAGACCCAGAAAATCCCCCCAAAACCCCCTGAAAATAAGTGGGAGTTGTGACCCAAAGAAATCCCCCCAAACCCCCTAGAAAAATCAATGGGAGTTGAGGACTCATCCGTGTATTCACATTCTCAGCCTAACGAGGTATTGAGTGGTTTGAAATCTGGGGGTGCAAACCTGACTGGGGTGGGGGACACAGGGTCAAGGGAGACACCAACACCCTGAAAATTTCCTTTAGGGCAGCAAAACCCCCCTAAAAATAAGCAGGAGCTGTGAACCCACCATGTGCAAATCATTACACCACCAGGTGTAATGATTTGTGCACATTCTCAGCCTGCTGAGATACCAAATGTTGAGAAATCTGAGGGTGCAAACCCATTTTGCGATGGAGAGGGGGGTCAAGGAACATCTAAAAAACCCCAAAACCCTGATAAAATCAGCAGGGGTTGGGAATACATCAATGCAATGAGGTGTGCATGTTCTTAACGCCTGTGATGCCAAGCTCTGAGAGCCCCGAGGGTGCAATTCCCTCGCCATGGGGTGACTTTTGGGGACCCCCCCCAAAAGGATACTTCGTGCCCACGACCACCCTGACGAGGTGGCGGTCCCCGGGGTCCAGCACGCGGCCCATGAGCGCCGGCAGCTCCTCGAAGGACGCACGATCCGTGAAGGAGAACAGGAACAGGGCGGCATCCGCCTCCTCCTTACAGGCCTGGGCAGGGGACACCCCTCACCGCGGGGTCCTGGGGGTGTCCCCCGCCCCAAAACTCGTCCCCCACCCCAAAACGCGCCCCCCGCTCACGGGCAGCAGGTGCTCGAACTTCCGCAGCGCTCCGTCCCCGCAGTCCCAGAGGTGCAGCTGGAACAGGACCGGGCGGCCGCTGCCGCGGGGCTTGGCTGGCCAGAACAGCGTGGTGGCCTCGATGCCTGTGGGGACACCGGGACTGTCACCCCTGGGTCCCCCTTGGGTCGTACCCAGGGACTTGTGGTGGCCTCAATGCCTGCGGGGACAGAGGGACTGTCACCCCTGGGTCCCCCTTGGGTCGTACCCAGGGACTCGGGATGGCCTCGATGCCTGCGGGGACAGAGGGACTGTCACCCCCAGGTCCCCCCGGCCGTACCCAGGGACTCAGGGTGGCCTCAATGCCTGTGGGGACACCGGGACTGTCACCCCCAGGTCCCCCTTGGGTCGTACCCAGGGACTTGTGGTGGCCTCAATGCCTGCGGGGACACCGGGACTGTCACCCCTGGGTCACCCCGGCTGTACCCAGGGACTCGTGGTGGCCTCGATGTCTGCGGGGACACGGGGACTGTCACCCCTGGGTCACCCC